AAAAACCATTTCTGAGAGCAAACAGTTGCAGTAAATACCAATGATCCTATGCACAAGTATTCCACTCACAAAATGTTTTAAAATAAAGCTGGTGGTAATATGGATAATTTGAAACAGCTAATTTATGAGCAGTTGGACAGTAGGCAAAATGAAAATGATCAGCAGTGCACATCTTTAGAGGGCTTCTACAGCTGACATTGTGTATTACCTAAGGTACCTAAATACTTTTGAGTATTGTCCCAAAATTTGGTTATATTTTGAAAACTAATGTGTACGCTATCAGATCTCAAAAAATAATCAGATCTTAAAAATATATTAAAAACAAATTAAGGACTTTAACTCAAGTTCCTTAAGTAGTGATTCACAATTACCTTCCTATAAAAATATTTAATCAAGTTGACATTCTGCCTCTGCTAATTTTGCAAGTAGAACACATGCTAGCCAGATGCTTTTAATATAGGCCTCTATAGAAGGTAGGTTCAAAAAGAATCTTTGATTAATTCTAACATGAATTAACAGGTTGCATGAATATACATAGAATTCCTTGAACTGCGAAGATACCTATAATCTTCCATTACTCACAATGGAGAACACAACCCAAAGTTAATGAAGATCACATCCTTCAGAAATCTATACCAACGGGAAAATAAAACTAAGGCTCTCTCCTCACACAAATCTGCTGCATGGCTGTATTTACACTACTTATGGTTTCAAAATTAAACCATAAGCACCATCAATAAGAAACACCAAATACTGCAGCATCAGTTAGAATTACCCAAATCTGTCTTTCAATGCTAGCTGTTCACAATTAAGTATTTCAGTTTATCTGTGTTATAATTAAGCTGTACTATCGTGGCAAATACGTATGAGTTTTTACTAAATGTTAAAACCTCAAATTTTTTTGACCCCTAAAACATTGACTGGATTGCTATGTCTGTCAAGTTTTGTTTTTACAAGTTTATATACCATTCAGCAAAGTCACAAGCTAACTAGGTAAAAACAGCTAGAAAAGCAGAATATAGAAATATTAAATATCCATGTAATCACCTATTCTAATATCAAAATCAAGGGCAAGAGACATTAATCAGTTATGTTTAATTCACTGAACCCATGAATAGATTGATGCATATCCAAAAACGCTATTGCAATGCTTTTTGTAAAGGACAGTAAAAATGTTGTCATAGTAACATTATCTTTAGATATTGCTGAACACAAGACTTTCCCTGAGGTGTAAACATCAAATAACTTGAACAGCTTTACACATCAGCCCCATTAAACAGTTTATTACAACACTACATCTATTGTAATCAAAGTGGTGCTGTTTACAGACATTATCATATGAACATTTTTAACAAGAACTACTATAAAAACAAGCATTTACTTGACTTTGTTTTTCCAATTGCTTGCACATTATAATGGCCAAATGTATATAACCAGTAATAAAGTTGCAAAAGCTATTAACTTTTTAAATCACACAGGTTTCCTCCAAATAAAACAGTTAAGCAACATAAAAAATAAAAGTAGAGCTACTGGTTACCATTTATGCAGATTTGCTTTATTCAGATCTATTCCTGTTCAGTTTATCCATGAATCCTTATAGGTTCAGTTCAATCACAAGAAGCAAACTGCTGGATAAGCGTCATTTTTCCCCCATGAAGACTGTTTTATCTTGGAAGGTGTTCCTCTTCCTTCAGCTGTAATGTGTCAAAATTTGTGATGTAGATTTTGCTATTCCCCATAATTCACAGAAAAAAGCTGGCTTAACTATACATACACAAGTCGTGCATCTACTCTGTTATGTAGTCTAACACAACATAAGAATTAACTGAAACAGTAGCTGCCTATGTGGTGGAGAAATGCTCCCAATTCATCAGATGATTCAAAATGAGACATTCTGATTCCACTCTTCTTAAATATTGTCTTTCAAATTTAATGACTGAAACAAATGAAAATATAGCAGCTACTGTTTCTGTGATGATGCAAATAGTCATAAACCATTTTCTAAAAATAAGCATACTACAAAAATAAATGGAAAAGTGCTTGGATGGTTTTAATGTAGATATTTTTCATTTACCCACATATTAATTCTATATGAACTCATTTAACAATTAAGTGCTGAGCTGAATATAAAATGCAATAAATTTTACAAATTGACTGTGTTTATTTGACATATACAGGAACCTCTGCAATTGTTATAAATCAAATAGTGTTCCGTGTTACAAAATGTGTAAATAGAAAGCTCAGTATGGACATTTAAATAAATATGACATCCACATACAAATCTTTAGACATAATACAATTTGAGACATTTGCTTTCATTCTATTCCACCTATATTGAAATATCTAATGTAGCATATAAACTAATCAAAAACAAGCTAACTGGAAATCTACAATGATTTCACTGAAAACTCACATAAAGGAAAAAAAGGAAACAAAGTTGATTAACTTAAATCTCAAGAATACATATATATGCAAACTTCAGGAAGAGGTTCACAAAAGAAATATTCAATTAATTTGCATATAAGTGACCAATGAAATACCAACTATTTAAAATATAAATTCCAAGAGGGCATTGTAAAAGTGATTTAAGAGTCTAAAGGGCACAATGTTTAGTGACACTTTGCCACAAAAATAAAAACACTTTTTTTTTTGAGACAGGGTCTCACTATGTAGTTCAGGCTGGGCTTGAACTCCCTACGTAGCCCAGGCTTGCCTCAAACTTGTAGCAATTCTGCCTCAGCCTCTGAAGTGCTGGGATTACAGGTGTGCACTACCACACCTGGCTGTTCTGCTATTAAGAGTAATTTCTATCACAATTATAAATTATCTCTTTCTTTAGTATATGTGCTGCCAAAGCAAGCACAATACATTTTCCCTTTATGTTCTTTTCTCCTATGTTGAAAACATATTAAGAGCACCAGTACACAGATCCATTCACACTGCCTAGCAATAAAAACTTAAGACCTTACAACTACATAAGGAAAAAAACCAAATGTTAAAAACATGATCTTCCTCTTCTAAATAGTTTCTATACATATTTTTCAAAGAGATACTTAAGCCATTTCTAATGTTACCTTCTATTTCACCTTCATGTTATGGTGATAAAGCTTATTTAGTAGAATTATTTAATAGAAAAAAGTAAAATGTCAGCTTTCAACTGTGTTATCACTTGTGACGCTTATTTACCTGTCTACGTTTTAGCTAGCTAGCCAGCTAGCTGGGATGACTGAACCCAGGGCTACGTGCATGCTAAGCCATGAGGCATATCACTAAGCTACACCCTCCAGCCCAGCAATGCACTTTAAAAAGCTGGTAAAAATTAGACAAAAAATATGCTCTAATTTTAAAACTGGGAAATCAAGAAACCTTACTCTAAAAACATGCTATCTCTTTAAGTTTTTAGTTGTGCTGAAAAGGATGAAGAGAGTGGATCACTAAGAGGAAATTATTTAAAATCAGTAAGCAACACAAAAATATTCAATCCTTCCAAAAAACTTATGCTATATACTGCAACTGTATCTTATCATTCCAACAGAGAACTTTACTAGTTTTTATAGAGTCCTATTTATGAAGTTACAATATACATCTGATTTCTTGCTTCATTATACTTCATGGATAGATCTTTACTATTAATCCTAATTTTCATGATACAGATATAAAATTTGAGGGATAGTAGGTTTTTATTTCTAAACATTTTACATTTATTTATCCAGTTGGATATACAAATTTTACAGTCTCAAAAGGAAGCAAATTTAAAGGCAATACAACCCATTTCCAATAATCCAATTCCATGTAACAGTCTCAAATGTCTATCTAAATAGACATCTACAAAAACAAAGATAGCAAAAAGAAAAGTAACAAATACATTCAACGATCATGTCCTCAGAATATCATTTGGTCAAATCTATGTCAAAGCCACACAATTACTTGCTTTAGCTATCAGTTATAAAAAGAACCTATGTAAACAGCTGTTTAAACAACTAAGATGACAAATGGAATCTATAGCTCCTAAACTCTATAAACTAAGCTGAGCATCAAGTAAAATGTCAAAACATTTTGCCTGCATTTTGAGGCAGTTAATGTAAGAATAAGCCACCCAAAATCTTGAGTGTTTGTTAGAAATTTACCTAAGCATATTTGTTAGCATTAGTATTTAGTCATCTTTGAAGTAAAACAAATGTATATTTGACAGAGCATTTTAATAGGTTTTCATATTAATATAATGAATTAGAAGGATTTTTATGTTAATTGTAAAGTTGTATTTTTACTTCTATGAAACAAAATTTACTATTCTCTATCTGAAAATTTCCTCTTGATGAAAGGAATGGAGATGAAGTGGGCAAGAAAAACAAGTCTAAATACATATTAAATCTTTAAGATAAAAATGTCTTCTTACAACATATTACACAAAGGCAATTCTGTTTACTGTAGATGTTTACAAAATGTTCCCTGCTATCAAAATACTTCATATTTTCATCTTTCTACCTGTGGACATAGTACTTACCTCATTTCAAAAAAGCATTTTATCTCTCAATATAAAACATATACATACTTGTTGCTCTAGGCAATCCACTAATAGAAATAAATTCCATCACAAAGAAAAAAATCAGCTTTGCCTCTAAAAAATTTACAAAATGGACATTTCAAAATAAGCTATTTGGTATTCAGAATCCACTGTGACAGTTAAAAAAAACATCCTACCACAGAGGGCACATTCATAAATTTGGATGGCATAAATGGTACCCTTACTCTTTATTAGGTTTTCTTTAAACAATACTAACTAAATATTCATTCAAAACATTATTCAAAACAATCTAATTTACAAACTGAAACAAGGGAAGTAAATTTCACACTGAGATGAAGGTGAGAGAGCAAGGTGACTCATATTAGCACTGAATTTTTTAAACAAAGCATTTTATTTTTTTTATTTTTGGTACCGGGGATCGAACTCGGGTCCTTCCGCTTGCGCAGCAGGAACAAAGCATTAATCATTTATAAACAAAATTAATATTCTTCAACCACAGTGAGCAAAACACATCATCCATTCATGTGATCACTTCCTACCCTCTTTTTGTCACTGCAAGCAGACAGCTGTATAGCCAGACAGGTTTTGCAAATAATACTGAAAGCAAAGAAATTAGAACTAAAGTAATTAAGAGCTCTAACAGAATAGTTAGGATATATGGGTAAACACAAGGAAACAGGTAACTGGGAAATATGAGGTAGATGATCAGATGATCTAAGAGTTGCAAAAATAATTTTTAAATCTTATAACAGTCATCTTTCACAAGGAAATCAAGACAATTTAATTTTCATGAAAGTCTCAATAAAACACTAATTCCTAAGGACATGTAATATCTTTTAACATATTAGTAATGAACTTTTTACTCTTGCAGCATTTTTGGTTTTTGCCCAAATTAACACAAAACTATAATAAGCTCAGGAAGCAATATAAAACATCCTGTGCAGTAATAAAATCTAACAGCATATTTGTAGAAGTAATCAGTCAAGGAAATACGGTTACTTAATCCAGATCCCTCATACACAAAACTTTTATTGATAAATGTGTAATGATTTGAGAATATGTAAAACCTCATAAAATGGGAAAACAGAAAGCCTGAGTGTAAGGAGTATTTTTTAAATATTTTGTTTTCATTACTCTTCAGCATTAAAGAACAAACTGTTCACAGAAATTTGCTGAGTAGGACTGTTCTGACAGGTAGTAAGAGGAACACAACCTTAAAATAACTCAACTATGAAGGTAAAATTATTTCTGTAAGATGTGTACAAATTAGAATCACTTATTTTGCTCAGAGTGGTCTCAGAATAGGGGCAAAAAATACAGAATATGAAGCACAATGTATTTACATAAGGAAATTTACAATACTGGTATTTTCTCATTAAAATATAATCTATTTGAACTTAGATATTGAATGTTTTGGGGAAAACTAATACATTTTTAAATGAGAATGTAATTAACATTATCCAACAGTTCAAACACAAAAAAAAATTAAGATGGGACAGACATTTAACAGTTTGTCAACATCATTAAATTTCCAGTTAAATTAAGTTTGTCCGTTTAGTCATTCATCACCATTTTAATAATAGATCACATTATCATTTATTTATGTACAAACTTACTACTGACATTCACTTTACCTTTCAAGTCACTTATTCCATTTAAGATTTACATGAAAGCTCAAAAGGACTCATATTTAAAAACTTCTAAAGAGGTCAACAACAGACCTTATTATGATGGTAACAAAATTTGCAAATAGTTTTTTGTTTAAAAAAAGATTTTCACTTCAATATATTTAATTCCAATCCCCACTCCTATATTCATGTCTACTTCCATAATAAATACTGTTTGATATAGCAAAGATACAATAATCCAAGATAACAATTTTTTTTTGTATTGGAAAGACTTATGTAAAATTTTGCTTGGATGAAGGCATATAACAATATCACAACTCAATTCTGATTAATGTACAAACAAAACATGGGAATTTGGGTATGATACATCAGTGACTAAGAAAAATGTCAACAATAGTTTTCACATGAAGAATTCATAGTTAATGCCTGAATGTAATGAAACTCAAGTCATGATATATTAGGTTCACTTATACTGGAATGTATATTAGAGCTATTTAAAATTAACAATGGACTTTTCAGAAGGAATTTACTTGGTTGACTATGCTAGTTTTACTAAAACCAGTAAGAAAAGTCATTAGTTAATCTCCAGTATAAACTGATTTGGAGGTCCCTTGATGGGTACATGGTACATCAATTTTGGAGATGACTAAAACTATTCAAATTTCAGAATCATCTCTTTAGTAACTAAAGCTTGACAACTTATAAAAGTCTAGAAAAATAACTTACAGATCCTGTAACCTTCCTATAAATAGAATGGCTACAGAGGTAAGCATTTCAAGTAATAACTTGGCCTCAATCCACCGTAAGCAACTGCTGAACATTAAGAATTTTTTCAAAAGATGGGATAAGATGTATTCAATTCAGGGTTAAAAAGCTACATCTTTAAAAAAGCTACATCAGTAAAATTTAGTGCTTAGATTTACATGATACAACACTCAATTTTTACATCCAAAAGCAATCACCAATTTCAGTAAGATTAGTTTTAAAAGAAGAAAATGCTTTGTCTCATATTGAAATGTTTTGAGACATACTAAATTTTTCATACAATACATGGTGAACTGCATAAAAATCTTGATACATATTCAAGCTATATACTCAAAATACAAGGAAAAGTATTAGAATGGGCTTTCTCAGTTCAAAAAGTCTTTAAAATTGTAAATAGTGTAACAGCTATTTGTTTCATAAAAGATTTACATGCTTATTTTCTACAAGTATTTTTCAAAATGGATCTCATTTGCTAATATTTATCTGTTACAGTTAAAAGAAACTGTTATTCTGTCAGTTACATACACTTGATAAAGCCTTTGATTTTGCCCATCACAATTTAAATACTAACAATTACCATGACTGAATTTTCACTAAGTCTCCCATGATTACTAAAAATCACACAGAGTATTTACCTACAAGGGGTCTGTTTTAAGCCTAATTCAATTTGGATATGCCAACATAAGAAATAATACTTTTGCTTACAGAGTAACCTCTGTGTCACACGCACAAAATTCAGTTCCCCACTTCACATGAATATGCTGTTCACAAATATAAAAATAAAATTACATGTGAAAATGAAGTATAAACAGACAACTCTCCCCACTTTATGAAAAATGTACACAAGAAATAGTTGTAAAGTACAGAAAGAAGACAATGATTATGGTTTATGAATGAAACATCAAAGAAAATTATTTCAAGGTTATTCTAATGGGGGATGTATGGCTTGATACAGTTTAAAAATGTGAAATATGTAACCTGAACCCATTTTAATTTAGTAACTTACATTTCCTTTGGAAATTAAAGGCTAATACTTCTTTTAAAATCAAAAACTAGATGCCAGGAAAACAGTCCCTTCTCTTAAAATAATTTTTTTAAAAGAAAAAACTTCTTTCAAAGTTGAGAAAATTTTCTATTGTATTTATAAACTATTACAGTGTTTGTCTTTAGAAGTTTTAGGGACAAATTAGATTAGCTGAGGGCAATAAAAAACCATATTTTTAAAAATCCAAGCACATTATTTGTATCGGCAGTAACTCCCTGTAAGTACTTTAAATCACATGTCAACTATGTATGTGATTACAAAAACCCCAATTTGTAGATTTTAGAAGTGCATAATGAGTCCTCTTGATTATTTTTTTTGCTTTAAGACCATTAACAATCTGAAACCTAACACCGATAACTCAGCAATACAATATTGAAGGATAAAAGGTCAAAATTTTTACCTGTGATCACTTACCTGTTATTTGTCTCAGATGTTTCCAGACGATTAAATTCAGAACAAGTACTTGGACCATTTAAAATGTAGGTATATACTGTATAAACAACAGCCCTGGAGTTATAATCACTGTTAATAATACTCACGTTAAATGTAACAGGAACAGGAATACCCACCTTCTAACGATGACGATACTCTCGCTCTCGGTCACGCTCTCGGTCACGGTCTCGGTCTCGGTCACGGTGTCTCTCTCTCTCTCTGCTTCTCTCTCTATAATAATCATCATGGCGATCTCTACTACGGGATTTATGTCGCCGACTCTTTTCTCGTGATCTACTATGGTCCCTCTCTCTTGATCGTTCACGTCTTCTAAAAGAAATTACTGGATTAATGCTCTCCATAATTGGATAGTTAAAAAGATATTCACTACAGTTGCCCTCCCTCATTTGTGGTCTCACTTATTCACAGTTAAGTATGGTCTGAAACATTAAATGAGCAATTCCAAAACTAAAACATAACTTTTAAATTGAACATCATTCTGAATAAAGTGATGAAATCTCACATAGTCCTCGCTCCATCCTGCCTGGGATGTGAATCATCCCTTGGTGCAGCACATCCACATTGTATACGCTATCTGTCCATTAGTCCTTTAGTAGCTATCTCAGTTATCAGACAATCTGTTGTGTTTTGCAGTGCTCATGTCCAAGTAACCTTTATTTTAACTTAACAGTGGTCCCAAAGTATAAGAGTAGTACTGTTTGCAATTTTGATATGGTTCCTCAGTGAAAAGGTTAAAAAAGTTCTTGACTTCGTAAGGAAAGAAAAGAATCATCACTGAAGTTGCTAAGATCTACAGTAGGAAGCTGTGAAATTATGAAGGAAAAAGAAATCTGTGCTACTTTTGTGGTCATACCTCAAAACACAAAGAGTCATAGCCAGTGTATAAGTGCTTACTTAAGATGAAAATGACACTGATTTACAGTTTAGTATTACCTGGGGTTTCAGGAATCCACTGGGATCTTAGAACATATCCTTGTAAGAGGGGACACTACATTTTGGTGTTTTGTTTTTTTTTTTGTATTAAATTCTTTTACTGGTACATTGTAGGTATACAACACAATTACATTTCTCATTGGGAATTGTACCTTTATATAATGCATCTTGGTTCTTATTTTTTCCCCATTCCTACACCTCCCTTCACCCCCTCCACCCTTCCCTATTTACCAAGACTTTATTTCCATTTTTTCCATTTCTCAGCATTTTTCCTTTCCCTTCTTTCCTTTCCCCTGCCCCTCCCACTACCCCTATCCCTTTGGACCTTTTCTTCCTATTTTACATTATCGATTATTCATTCTAATCATTGGTACATTTTAGGTATACAATATAATGACATTCATCATTGGAAATTTGCACCTTTACATAATCTCTCTTGGTTCTTATTTTTCACCCTTGCCCAGCCCTCCCTTCAACCCCTCCAGTCCTCCCTATTTACAAAGATTTTGTTCCTGTTTTTCCATTTTCTCATATTAATCCCATTCCCTTCTATCCTTTCCCCTAGCCCTCCCACTTCCTTCCCCTTTGCCCCTTTTCTTCCTATTTCACATTACCTATTATACATTTAGTCCTTATTTACACTTTCAGTTTCTCACACCAGAGAAACTATTCGGTATTTATACATGTGTGTCCTATTTATTTCACTTAAGAGTATCACCTCAATGTGCATCCACTTAGCTATAAATGTCTCTAATTTCTCACTTTTTATGGCTGAGTAGTACTCCATTTTATAAAAAAACCACATCTTCTTTATCCAGTCTCCAGTTTATGGGCATTTGGGCTGTTTCCAAGTTTTAGCTATTACAAACTGTGCTGCTATGAACATGGGCCCACATATATCACTGTGGTATGATTCTTTTAATTCTTTGGGGAAGATCCCCAGCAGTGGAATTATTTTGGTGTTTTATGTACACGTACCAACTCCCCATGAGAAACATTAATTACGTATTACAATAAAATAAAACATTTAAAAAAATCTAAGGCAGCAAAAATTCTCTGACACAGTTGAGACTGATTATCCTGTCCTGCCAATGCTGATGACAACCAAATCATCAAGCAAGCATGAACCAAAAATTTTACTTTTAAAAACATTTGCCAAAAAAATGGAGAAAACACATAAATACATCATATCATCTACTTAAATTAGTATCTTAAAACACACATAATAGTTACTGAATAAACACAGAAAAGTAGAGAAAATGTCAAATCACTTGTGTCTCAAAATAAGATCTAGAGTAGTTTTTTTAAAGCATAAAATTCACAAAAATCACCCAATATACAATGGAGCTTAAATGGATAAATACTACTACCTATTAACGTAAGTTACCCAAATGTATACAGATGGCTCTCCGTATCTGTGGGCTCTGTATTCACAGATTAAAAATATTTGACAAAAAGCAAAAACAAGAATTGTAACTGTATGGGAAATGTGAATTTTTTATTCCCTACAATATAGTATAATGACTATTAATATAGCATTTACATCAGGTATTTTAAATGAAGAGATGATTTAAAGTACACAGGAGTAAAATGGCAGGAGGGAGGAAAAATAAAGTATGTGGGAGGATGTATATAGATTATATGCAAATATTTTATATAAGAGACTTGAGCATCGGCAGATTATGGTATTCTCAGGGATCTGGGAATCAATCCCTTCAGATATCAAGGGGCCATTGAATATAAATACCTGTTTTGCATTCCTAGCTAACCAAAATATGACTTATCTATGCTCCACTAAGAAACTGTGTGAAGGTGTGAAGAAGGTTGGGCAGAAATGCCTAATAATTGTGACCAGTGGAGAGGACTGGTATTGCATTCCCACTGTATTTTATAAGTAGAAATGTTTAAGCCTGAAAAGCATTAGAAATTCTAAGCTCACAATAAGGAAATAGCAAATGTCTATAGTTTATGTATTTCTGAACTAGACAGCTAGACAAACATTATTAGGTGTTGAGTTCTTCAATCAAGGTAGAATTTCGGACTCTGGACTTAAAATATTAAAACAAAGACAATATATGCTAATATCTTTAGCTATAACAAATTTGTTCAGATATAATGATCCTTATAGTGGGTCAAAATGGTAAAAATAAAGTTGAAGGCCATGCCCAAGGCAAATTTCTTTCCCTTCATGAAGATGACTCTATTTCCAGATAAAGTAAACTTAATACAGATTTAAGAATAGCATGTGAAGATTAAATATCAAGAATATACAAAATTTCAAGATTAGTAGTAATGCTAAAAAGATCTACCTAATTTAAAAAAACTATTGAGAAATAAATCATCTACTCACTCACAACTCCCTCATTTGAGAAATATTTATTCTGTATCAGGCAATGTTTAGACATAAATGTGGTTCTATAGTGAACAGGATAGCTAAGGGGATTCTTATCACTCAAATATGTTCTAATTATAATACATGAAATATATGAAAGAAATAAATATAATGACAGACTAACTTGAAGAAGATCTGAAAAATGAGATTTAAGCCATAATGGATATAAAGCCAAGTATGTGAACAGACAGGGAGAAGAGTTCCCAACCGAAGGAATGCCAAGTACTAAATCAGTGAAGTGGTCAAATGTTAAAGATGTGTGCAAAAGAAAAAAAGGGAGACCAATTTGTATATGGGGGGAGGTACAAGATCAGTCTAAAAAGATAAGCCTTACTCTAAAGAGTAAAATAGAAGCCACACAGTGCCTCAATGTTTACAATTTGATTCTAAGTAGAAGTCATTGAAGGATTTTTAAGCAAATTTCCTGACATTTGACTCAGCATTAAAAATTTACTCTGCTGAGTAGACATTAAATAAAATCAAAGTCTTATTTTAAAATCCCCAACAGTATTTTCTCCTTTTATTAACTAAAGTTTTAAAAAGTCATGAGACATGGGCCAGGGATTTAGCTCAGTGGTTCCACCGCTTGCTGTGCAAGTGCAAGGACCCGAGTTCGATCTCTGGTACCAAAAACAAAAAACAAAAACCAAACAAAAAGTCATGAGACAGGAAAGTTTTACCTCGATCCAGAACCATATGACTTGGATTCAATTCCATGAAGGCAATCTTGCAAAGAGCTAATAAGAACTTTGCAACGGTCATCAGCAGATACTTTGGATTGTTTAATTAAAGAAATTGCAGTTACCAATGTCTCAATAGCACTCCCATAATCACCTGTAGGGTAGAACAAGAGTTAAATGTCAAATTTTGTTTTTGAAATGCCATCAAACCACTTGGGGACAAAAATGATAAAGCATTTCACAATACAGTATGTTTTAAAGTGACTACAGAAGATTAATGCTTTTTTTAAGCGCTTTAAAATTTGCAAAAGGCTTTCAAATTAATGAAATTACAGTTTGTTGTTATTATAATTATCATTTTTCAAATACAAAAATAAATGAGCTGTGTTAGGCCTCTGAACCATTAAATGTGAAAGTTAGCATCAAATCTAAACCTAGTAACTTAAAATTGAGGCTCTTTTCATTACATTGTGACATAAGTTCTCAATGCTTTTTAAATATGTCATAGGTAATGACTTGGGAATATAAAAACAGTACATGTAAGTAAGAAATACTGATACTTGAAGAAATATACAAACCAGCACTGGCATCAGATACAGCTCTTGAAATAGCACTGCTTGAGATTGCCCTATTTCTATTCATGATTTCTTCAAACTCTGCTTCACTCAATGGTGTTCTCGCAGTATCCATTTCCCTATGAAAGGAAAATCTTAAATTGTTACTCTACAGATTTTTACGTTACTCATGACAGTGTAAATCAATTCATATTAGCAGTCTTTGACATGTCCTTTATAGTTATTTGCCAGACTAAAGTATGCTATTTGTCTACAAAGAGAACAAGTCTAAGCAAAATTCTTACAACAATGTATTTCAGCTGAAATAAAGTAGCAGCTTAGAAACTCCATCTTTCTAGAGGGCAGAAATGCTATATTTTCTATAATAAATTTCGCAGAATCGTTTTTCTCTTTTACTAAGCAAATACTTTCATTGCTACACACTAACTTACCTCCCAGGGGGGCCATAGTCACCCCTATCATATGGTGGAGCGCGGCCATATGGGTCTGTTGGTGGTGGACCTCGACTATCTGATGTAGGCATGCCGCTGTTAGTTGGTGGAGGAAAGAAAGCTGGATTCACATGTGGAGCTGGCGGTGGGGCACCTGGAGGTGGTCCCGGAAGATGTGGAGGAGGAGCAAGTGTAAGGGGTGGCCCAAGCGGACCAGGTGGGCGAGGTGGAAAGGGGCCTGGAGGTGGCGGCGGTCCCTGCTGTGGAGGTGGTGGGCCAGGAGGAGGGCCATAACCTGGAACTGGAGGTGGAGGTCCCGGAGGAAGTGGACCCAATGGAGGCTGCCCAAAAGGCTGTCCAGGAAAAAGAACTGGTGGTGGAGGGCGATCTCCTCGATTAGGAGGCCCAGCTAGAGGAGGTGGCAGAACCTGACCAGGAGGTGGAGGACCTGGTGGGCCAGGTGGGCCTGGGGGACCTAATGGTGGACGTGGTGGAGTCTGTCCAGCTACAGAATAAAGAGAGAGGGTGGGGAGAGAGAGAAAAAAAAAACAACTTTAATAATAGATATTTTAACCTTTACATGCCAAGATTATATTTTTAAAGCATAACTATATGGTAAATGCTATTCTAACTACAAAGGTGAAGAATATCCTTACAAATTTAAATATCTCGCTTTATGCTTAACAAAAATTACTGAAACAAAAACTTTAAAAATTACAATGTTTAGAGATATTTTCCATCTTTCAGCATACACAGACTTCTTACATTGAAATCACCCACCTTATATTCTACTCTGATGCCAAGCTAGAAAGTGAAACAAGGAAAAATGGTCTTGAAAGGGTTTTTTAAGAGGTAAGAAAATAAGACGGATGTAAATATTCTATATATAAGTCAAGCAAGTTTGGAGAAAAATAAAGACCTTTTAGGCCAAAAATGGGTAAATCCTCTATGCTGTGCCCCATATGCCATGGAATCCTAGTTTCCAGGAACAAAGGCCGAGTTCCTTTAACAAGATGCTTGATCAAATTTCCTGGATTCCAAAAATAGCATAACAAGGAGAGTAAGTCACATTAATAATGCATTACTTGAAAAAGAGAGAAAAGGAAAAGAGGTATTAGGTAGACACATTATATTTTTAGTAATTTAAGAAAAGTTTTACCTGGAAAAGGTGGGGGTGGCCCTCCTGGTCCTGCTGGCCCAGGAAATCTGTCCCCACCGGGAACAGCCCCTGGAAAACGGCCCCGTCCTCTACCACCTTGTGGGAATGCTGCACGTGAACTGCCTCCTGGAGGACCAGCTTTACCTTCCCCAGACATTTGTCCTGATTGTGTAGCTGCAAACATCCAAATACTCTTAAGTAGCACTCATTAAAACAGTTCTCTGAAATGTAGCCACTGTTATTAGAAACAACTCTATTTCAAAGTTCAGTTATACTATATATTAATTTGCAGAAACCTTGGGCCTGTACAAACTACTGGAGAATTACTGATAAGGAAAATAGTCACATTTATTAAGTCCTTTTAAGTCTTGAATATCCAAGTATAAATGTTTTTTCAAAAAAAAAATCATTTCCACTGAGTAAAGGGGTTACTTTCAAAATACCAGTACTCTGCAGCAGCCAAGACCAAATTTCTTCAACAGAAATCTTAATTTCAGTAGTACACATCATTTAAATTTTGTAATATGCTCTTCAGTTAAATCTTAAATGCTAAAACATCAAAAGAAAAACAACTTGAATTTCTGTTAATTACATGATCATCCATCTTATCTCTTTAAATGTTAACATTCTTAAGTATGTAATAAGTCTTTTTTACACTCACTTTACCAAGTGGTGAAAAGTCTTGGCGCCAAGCAGAATATTTTCTGATTACCAGTCTCTCCCAACCCGTAACACATATACACATAGCTTTCCTTCAATCTAAGGATTAAAATGCAGTTTCTTCCTTTCTCTAAGATGGGAAGGACAGGACAATAATGGCAGCATTAAAGAACCTGCACACTATCACATAGTGTTGGGTCTGTGAGATCTGGAGAAAAATGGAACAGGATCAGGTTCCAGGACCTGGGTCCACAGCATTAACCAATGATCAATAGTAAGGACTTTAAAAAAAAAAAAAAATTCTCTAATGAACTATTAGATGTGTAACTTCTGTAGCATAACATCTAACAAATACAAGCAATATTGGTTAAAATGCACCATCTTTTAAAAAGGCCTCTGGGAGATTGCTTACTTTTCCTGGACTGCATTTCAAATTGACTCAGGAACTGTTTATTGCATGGAGTTACAACAGGATTCTGGCCATGAAGTTCTCTTTTAGGCAACAGATCCATTAACTTTTTTGAAGATGCTTCAGATCCAACACCAACAAGTGCAAATCTAAGAAGTGTTTAAAGGGATGGAAGTAGAAAGTTGAGGGGTCAACAGTTACTATCATTAAAAAAGAAATGGTTTAAATTTATTTTTATCTTGAAAGCCCAGAAAATACTTCTTAAAGCTCCACAAGTTCATACTCTCATATCTACTAACTATGAAAATGTATAATATAGAATGATACACAACATTCATTCATTTAAAAGGTACAATTTCAGTAGTTTTAGTATATTCAAGAGCTCTACAATTATCACCATAGTCAATTTTAAACACTTTCATCACTCTCAGAAATAAACTCCATAACCAGCAGCCATCACTCCCATTTTCTCCCATCCTCTACCTCAGGAAACCACAAATTTACTTTGTCTATGGATTTCCCTATTCTAGAATTTCATGTAAGCAGAATTATACTATATGTTCTCTTTTATGACATGATTCTTTTGCTCAGCATAATTTGAAATTTCATCCATGCTAGACATATCACTACTTCATTTATTTTTACAACTGAGCAATATTCTATGGTAGCTATATTGCATTTTCTAAAAATTTATTCATCAGTTCATAGGTATTTGGCTTGTTTTCACACTAGGATAGCTGTAATAATCATAAAAACACTAAAGTGTTAGTGAGGATATAGAGAAACTAGAACCGTCATGTATTAATGATGGGTATGTAAAATGGCATAGCTAGCCTGGGAAACAACTAGCAGTTCCTTAAAATGTTAAAAAAAAGTTACCATATAACCCATTTAATTCCATGGCTAGGTATATAGCCAACCAAACCAAAGATAAATGTTCACACAAAATTGGTAAATAGAGGAATCAGAGGGACATTTTCTTTAATAGCAAAAAGTAGGACTCCAAATGCTCATCATCTAATGGATGATGGATTTAAAAACAAAGTGCTACATTCATGTAATGGGATAGTATTCATCCATTATGGAAAGGCTGATACCTACTGGAACACAGATAAACTTTGAAAATATTATGCTAAGTGAAAGAAGCCAGACACACAAGACCACATGTCATATGATTTCATTTGTAAGAAATGAACAGGCAGGATATCTAGAATAGGCAAATCCAAAGACAGAAAGTACATTAGTGGTTGTCTGCAGGGGAGGAGGGCAGATTAGGAGGTGACTGCTCATAGGCAACAGGGTTTCTTCTGGGGGTGATGAAATGTTCTGAAATTAGATAGTGGCAAAGGTTGCTTGACTTTGTAAATACGCTAAAAATCACTGAACTGCATACTTTAAAGGGGTGAATTGCATGGTATATGAATTGTATCTCAAGAAAAATAACTTAAAAACTAAACTATCAGTATGATTACAGAATATTCTAGATTACTAGAGGGGGCCTCTCAGGAGGTGAAAAATCTTTTTTTCCTCTAATGTTCAATACGGTCCTTAAGCAGATCTCCTACTCTACTCAGCTAATTCTGCTGTATGGATTATCTTGAATCACAATATTTACAAACAATTTATTTGGGCTGGGGTTATAGCTCAGTAGTAAAAGCATGCACTCAACATAAACAAGGCCCTAGGTTCAATTCACAGCAGGAAAAAAAAAAGGGCAAAAATAAAACTTCATTTAAAAAAAAAAAAACTTCATTTAATAATTATTCACTGAGCATCACCTCCTACTGTCATATACTCTAAGGCTAGAGTGAACCAAAACAAAATCCTTGCTCTCATGGAGTTTACAATCCAGTGAGAAAAGATAATAATAATAATAATAATAATAATAATAATAGGAGAGACAGATTATGAAGGTTGATGTTTTATATAGGATGTTCAGAAAAGAAAATTCTTAAAACAGTTTGCGTAGTGAATGAAGTGAAAGACTGAGCCATGAAGCTGGGCATTGTGTCATGTATGGGCTTATAGTTCTAGCACTTGAGTATGAGTTCAATGCCAGCCTGAGCAAGATCAAATGAGACAACCTTTCAAAAAAGAAAAAGAAAAATGAGCCATGTGGACAGATATTTGGGGAAAAAAAGAAGAGTAAACAGCTAAAGGTCTAACGCAAGAATTTATTGGTGAAATAGCAGAGAGTAACATGGCCAAAAAAAAGTGGCATAGCAGTTGAAGAGGTAGAGAAACAGATCACCTTGCAGACCGAGGTAATGACACTGAGATAAGAAATCATCTGAAGATCCTGAGCAGAATATTGATATTATCTTAAAAAAACAAAACAAAACAACTTCAAAAACATCTATGTGGAACTGACACACCCCAGAAGATTAGAGTACCAGAAGGGATGCCAGTTCAGAAGCTACTGCATCGCTTCTTGGCCTTTTGGCTAAGATCAAGTGTAGAAGCTACTACAAAAGCCCAGATAAGTGGGCCTGGAATGTTGCTCAATGATGCAGCACCTGCCTAGCAAGCAGGAGGCCCTAAGTTCGACTCCCAGCACCAAAAAAAAAAAAAAAAAGAGAGAGAGATGGTGACTCGGAACAGGTGAAACATTATAAAGTTGGCATATTTTTTATCATTCTGTATCCAACTTATCTTTACCATAATTTGTCAATTAAAAAAAAAAAAAGAATCTAGCTCAGTGTGGTGGTACATGTCTGTAATCCCAGCACTCTTAGGAGGCTGAGGCAGGAAGAAGATCCAAGTTTGAGTCCAGTCTGGGCAACTTAGTTTAATGAGAATTGGCCTCTAAACAAAAAATTTATAAAGGGGTTCAATCTCCAGTACTGAAAAGAAAATAAACCAACTCACCTACCTCAAGGCTTATATAAAATTATGTCTGCTGCAAAATTACTTGATATCAAAGTAGCAAAAAATAAGGGAAGATGGGTATTTATTGCTAAATATTTGTTCCACTTCCTGTACCAAACCTTTTATAAAACATGCAAACTGTAATACCATTTTTTAAAAGAAAATTCTGAAAGTATAGTGAATACATACAAATATGTGACAACATGTAGATGACTCAGTTTATGCCATTATTTCATTTTCTTACTTTTGGATATCTGTATTTTATAATGTTCCCATATTATACTATCTCACTTATAAGGCTTCATAATCAAGAATAAAAAGCAAAATATCCAGGTTACTCACATTATTCTCCAGTCACCCATTTTCCCCCATATCAATCACAAGATTACTACACCTATAAACTGTCGTTTCAACCACAGATGGAGAAAACTCAGGAAAATTGGAAAATAGGCCTAATTTGTCCACAATCCCAATTCCATTGGTCTTACTGTGCTAAATAACAAGGTATGTGTGAAAAGATAGAATGACTCTTTGCCTAAGATCCTCCTTCCAATATAATCATGTGTCCTATATGTTTGTAATTACCATTAACCTCAAGGGAAGCTAACTTATAAATTGCAATCAACAGCTACTAACTTGTATTAGAAACACAAATTCTTACCCCTTTGACTGGCCATTTGCCCGATTTTCAAAAAATTTTATCTCCAAAATATCATTTACTCCCAAAGAATGAACTGCTTCAGTTAAGTCTTCATCTGTTGTCCACTGCAAGACATGTTTCCCTTATTAACCACTGAAGCATATCCAGAATTTTTATTGCTCAAATGTAGCTTTTACAGGTAAGCTCAAGGAAAACAGAAAATTATTGCTCAGTGCAAATTTAAGCATAATTACTAGCAGTCAGCCTCCAATTTTTAGTACATGTGCTGCCAAAGTGAGCAATCAGCCTCCAATTTTTAAAATACCACAAAAGCATCTGAGACCCTAACTTCATTCCCTGATAAGAGTTTTGGAAATTAGAAGGTACATACCCTCAGAGATAAGATAGATTTTTACTCTTACGAGTTTCTGGTTTCTTCCAGCTTTAAACTGCTATGATTTTAAATTCTCAATAAAACCAATCTCACTTGTCACTTTTTCCCTTCAAAGGAAAATATTGTGTGAAATAAATTTCATCTTATTCTTGAATATAAAATGGAAAGACGAAAAACTAACATGTGTTGAGTACCTACTAGGTACTTTATATCAACTGTATAACTTTTAAGATTCTTAAACCCTACTATTATTCCCATTTGAGCCAAGATGAAACAACTAAGTCATGAAACTAAGAGATGATGGAACCAAAGTTCAAATTCTTTAGCAACTAGACTCTCATAAATACATTGCTACTGTTTCCAAAAACTGCTTAGACTGCATTGTGGAAAATTAGTCCCTTAGTTTAAAAAAAAATTATTTTAAGTAAAACATTTTTCAGTTGGGCACAGCAGTATGCACTTGTAATCCCAACTACTAGGGAGGCTGAGGCAGAAGGATTACAATTTGAGGACAGCTTGAACAACTTAGTAGGAACTTGTCTCAAAAAATAAAAACTAAAGATGGAGCCCGTGGAGGAGCACTTGCCTAGCATGTATGAGACCTTGGGTTCAATCCCCAGTGCTGAAAAATAAATAAATAAATAAATGGCTGTTTTTAACAAAGTAGAAAAGTGCTGAGTTTTCTTTTGACTTTTAGATCTATAAACTTTCACATATGTCTAATAATAGAGATGAAGAACTCCATAGGGTTGCTTTAGTGAATATTTCAGGTTTAATGCTAATGTAAATATAAATAGGTCTCTAGACATGCACTTAATGAAGCTCTCAGCCAATAATCTTAGTTTCCTGAAACAACTCAAACTTTTCAAAGTATGTAGCAGTATTTCTATAAATCAGATTTCAAACATAACAAAATGGAACTTAAGTCTATAATCTAAATTAGAAAATGAACAATATTTTAAGATCAGGAATGGTATTCATTATCTCCTGAATTCTGGCTTCAAACCTTATCTGAACATTTTTCTTAGTAAAATTGGAACACTGAAAGCAAGGAATGAGTAGTAACATAAAGAACAACAACTGAAGACAAAAGTAATTTTTACATTTAACTGGTATGTCTACCAAGATGAGATAAAAGGACACAAAATTCAAACAGAATTAAAACTAATGGCCTTTTGAAGGTGCCAGATTTTGCTCGTGACCAAACATTTAGAAAAACAAATATAGTAACTTCAAATTTTTATTTTAAAACTCCAGACAAAAACACTAGCTACTAGAGCAGTTCAAAATCAATTACCAATAATTCTTGTTAGCTTTACTCACCCAAGTTAGATTTCCAATATATAATGCAATTCTCTTTCCAGTATACGTATAGACAACATTTGGTGCTGCTCCTTTGCCCACATCATCACCAACAGTTGGCGGTAGAGTATCCATGTAATCCCGGTCTTCTGGAGCATCTCCATTATTTGCAGATGGGGAGATGACATCATCATACAAATCTATCTGATCATGCCCACCATATTCCGCTTCCTGAGATACAGAAATAGTGCTCCAGATTATATAACAGTCAGATTACTATACAGAATTGAATACAAATTCATTCGACTTTTTTTTTATTTCAAAAATCTGATGGAAGATAAAAGGCTGAAAGAGCTCAGTACAGATCTCACTTTTTCAACAGACATATTCTTGAATGGTAACTGTAACTGAAACTTTCCTTAGAAGCAAAATATTCTTAAACAGTAATACATGAATGCAAATAGAAAACTTTTAAAAGAATATCTGACATAGGAGTATCACAAACAAAAACCAGAGCCACTGTAAGTCTTCAGTGTTTAACCACAAAAAAAAAAAAAGTAACTTGTTTTCTATGATATTCAGTTTTTGCTCCCAACCCTGAAAAAGCTAACAGTTTCAGAAAAAGAAAAGTGAGCTGAGCCACAGGAAAGGGATTAGAAATGATAAATGATTTACGGAAAGAGAAACAATAAATGAAACACAGGTAAGAACTATCCAAATTAGTATCTCACAATAATATTCTCATTCAACAAAGAGCCAGTGCTTACCTGCCATTTTAGATGTCTAGCCAAGTAAGTTAGGAAAAATGGTACAAATAAAGATCTAGTAAACCTTTCCCATTTGATTTTCACCAGCAGAATTAAAGCAATCTAGTGATGTCATTTACATGCCTAAATGATAAGCAAGGAGTAAGAGGAGGAAAAGAAGAGAGATAGGTGAGCAGAAGAAAATTAGAAGAGAGGAATAAACACAAGAAAAATGCAATGTAGGTATGAGCACAACACACAATGACATTTGATTGCCTCTGGTAACCACTATTGGGTCACAAGCTTGACTAAACCTGTAGCAGAGATAAAGTTCCAGACTAGGTTATCTAATCAGTGTGAATTATTTTATTCTTCTGAAGTAGAACATTTGTAATACAAGGAAAAAGATAATTATAAGATACCTTAACTGTTCAGATATAACTCATATGCTCTCCAATGTTTACAATTTATTAAGAAATTAGAAAGAACTGATAGTTTTAGGGACTAGTATATAGATAATGATCAAGAGAAAGCACTTGTTATAGAAAACAGATCAGTAAGATATTATTGGCTCCAAGGAAGTGCAGCTATTGTTTTGTTATTCAGAAGACAACTAGAGTGAGATATTTTTTAAAAGAAAGCAAGAAGCAAACAACTTGGGGGAGGGGGCGGGGACACACATTCATATACATATATCCAAATGGACCTCAAATTGGCAATGTCATCTTTAGGTAATCTGCATAAACAGTGAGCTATTCAACTTACTTATATAAAAGAATCTTTACATTTCAATTTTATTTGTTATAAGGCACAATTTTTTAACTTATTTAATAAGGGGTTCAGGAAACTAAAGCCAAGAGCACAAAACCATTTTTAGCAATGGGCAGAAACTAAGACCACAAGTCACTGAATAACACCATTAACTCTATGTTGTTTGTACAGCAATACCAAAATAATCTCTAAGAAGTGAGTGTTAAATGAAGTAATATACTGAAATTGCAGTGACAGTAGGAAAAACAGAAAAAGTGGGGCTATGTTTTGTTAAAAAGTTTTTGAGTGAAGCTGAAGCGTCAGGTGGTGTGGATGCAACCAACACTGATTCCATATACTTAAGATACTGCCCAAGAGAGATTATGTAAAGGTGCAAATTTCCAATGATGAATGTAATTATATTGTATACCTAAAATGTACCAATAAAATTAATTTTTAAAAAAGGTACTAAAAAGCTTCCCACACAATCCAGTTCTGTACACCAAATAGTCTATTATTCAAAAGGAGTTGTGTTTCCATCCTAACAGCAGAGATGAATCACAATATACAGTCTGAGGGAGAGTAAAAAAGAATCAAGAATTATTAATAGCAAGGCTAACATATTTAAATTTATACTTTCACTTACACAGACAGGTTAACACACTATGATTTATTAAATTGTAAATCTGAGAAAAATTTACATAAATAATTTACAACCATTAATTGCAGCTACACTAACCTGGTGGATTAAAATCACTATTTTTTGTATGTCCATGAATTCCTACATTGACAACAACTAATTTTCTACATTCATACTCTTCTACTAATATTTAGAATCGCCATTTTTCCTGGTAGTTGAAATGTTTCCAATTGGTTGAAGTATGGTGCTAAGTGAGACCATGGTCCTGGAGTTTGAGCTCCTGGTGGATTAATTAGCTTTAGGTGGTTCCAAGGCCATAGCCTGTACTTAGCCCCAGCAGCATTCATTTGGACTTGGTGAAAAAATATTAAGTAATTTGAGTATATCTGTCACCATTACTAAAAAATGCAACTCAAAGCATTAACTCTCTTGTAGTATCAGTAACTTCTTTTCAGCTTCATTGTATCATACCCATCTTTCATACTAAAAACTACAGAATACATCAAGCTTCATTTCAACTTAAATCAAGGAATATGCACATTCTGAAATTATGCAAAATGTTCATCACAGGTCACATATAAAGAAGTGAGTTCTGAAAACCTGAACAAACTAAAAACAAAGGCTTCTACTTTGTCAAAGAAAAACAGTCAAATACTGCTAAGTTCTATGTGAAGGGACTTTTCACCTATTACTTTTAATTCTAATCAAGCTAAAAGACTGTTCTGCATGATATATAGATAGCTGTTGCCAAGTCAGAAAAAGCACTTAAAAATAAGGTGAAGTGGGCCGGGGATTTAGCTCAGTGGTTTCGCCACCTGCTGCGCAAGCACAAGGACCCAAGTTTGATTCCCGGTACAAAAAAAAAAAAAAAAAATAAGGTGAAGAAAAATGACCAGCACCCTATTAGCTCTCTGAAGGCTCTATTTCCCAATCTTTTTCATCAGCACCATCCCCTTCCTCCAAGGGGTCATATATTTTAAGACAGTTTTCCCCTAAACATTCCTTATAAAAGTTTAATATCACAAAAAAAGTTTAATACTGTATATACTATATTCCATTACTGGGACTAACAGAGCTGTTAAAGCATTCTTCATTCTTCTTCACAGCCCCAACACTGTTCTTGGCAGTCCTAAAATTATAGTTAATACCATCTGTACACTGTAGCAACACATAGCAAGGGTCACGTTTCAAAGCCAATTTACTTCAATAACAACAACAACAACAAAACAATAATGGGGTGTAAGCATGCCCATTTAAAGAACTAAAAGGAGTGGAGGGTAGCATTTTGCATTTTACGAAATGTATCCCACAGCCTGGAAGAAAAATGCCAACATAAAATCCAATAGTAGATAACCCAGTACATTACAGCTGTTCCTCTGTATTAACAGGGCACTGATTCCAGAATATTACTGCCAAACTGGTACAAGTACATCCCAAAATCTACAGATGGTGTAACATGGTACAGTACACATAAGCTACATACATCCTCTCCTATACTTTAAATCATTTCTAGATTACTTACAATACCTAATATAATTTAAGCTACATAAGTAGCAGCTGTACTCTATGTAAACTGTTACATTAAGAAAAACGTCTGCGCATTCAGCAGATACAGTTTTTACCCCAAATATTTTAGATCTGTGGTTGATTCAATCTGTGGGTGTGGAACCTATGGATACAGAAGGCTAACTGTATTTAAGAATACATATCACTTTCTGATTATGTTTTGAGTACACATTAAAATCAGTTTATAGTACCTGCAAGAAGCTCAACAGCAAGGAAGCCAAATTAATACTTAAAATATGCCACACAAACCACAAAGTGCACAACTAATAGGCAGCTACATTAACTAGGGTCATAAATAACAAGATCCAAGTGAAGAGTTCTAGCTCCCCTAAACATTTCTATCCATGTTTCTAATCAATCTTTACCTACACCTCATTGTTGATCTTACAAACTTATCTTAAAACCAATGTTTATAAACATAAATTATCAGAGAAAATGATCTTATACTGATACTTGTTTCACTGATATCTGTTCAATAAACCTATTTTCCATAACTGGCTAGAGTAAATAACAACTAAATATAAAGCAAAATGATTCATGAAATGAAAGTTGACTTTTGAGGATGACTAGATCCTTAACTCCTAAATTAATTTTTTTCCACCTACAGTACTACTTCTGTATACTTAAAGTTGAGTGGTCAGATTGCTATCAGTGATTCCACTGCCTGACAAACCAGAAATTAAATTCTGCAACTAAATTCTACCTAAACAGTTTCTGATCTCCAAACAAGCAAAATATACACCACTTCAATGCAGAGTATAAGTTGAACATCCCTAATCAAAAAATCCTAAACTTTTTCAGTGCCAACACGATACTCAAAAATTTTTGGATTCTGGAGCTTTTCTGACTTCAGATTAGGAATACTCAACTGGCAAAGGTCTATGCAAATATTCCAAAATATGAAACACTTCTGGCCCCAAACATTTCAGGTAAGATATGCACAACCTGAGGTTCCTCAGAGTTCACAGAATTTCTCTTGACCTCCCCTCCCGCCATGAATGAAAATTCTACAGATAAAACACATAGAACAGTGGCATCTACAGTAAAAGACTTGTTAGTGTGTTACAACTATGTAGTTGTCTTTCACCCTCCCCCCTATAGTCGATTCCTCGAGTAGAGACTATCTATCCTTTGCTGTTGGCATTCTTGAGTATTATTTTGAGCAATTTAATATTTTAACCTAATTAGCTTTGGTCAAAATTTAAAAATCTAGAACTACTAAATATTAGGCCAGTGAAGAACTACTAAAACTAAATACAAATCCCAGTCCAAAGTAAACTGATACATTATTGCAAATTTAAGTAGCGCTTTAGAAGCTCTACTCTCTTCCATTTATCTCTCCACTAAACCAACTATTTTCAATTTGGTGACATTCAAAAAGCTTCAATTTAAGAACTAAGTAGGACCCATGAAGAGCAGCCAGCCCTTTGTGTCCCTCCTCACCTGCATTCTCTATTCAATTAAAATCCATTTGGTTAAAAAAAATTCTATGGGTTTCACCAACTTTTTCTTCACCCAGTCTCCAAATTAGTTTCTTCTAAGATTGCTGAATGCTTCCCACTTTCTGGATACGGTGTTTACACCAATATTTGAAAAAACTATTTAAAATAGTAGAATATGGAAAACAGATGACTTACACAGAATATCAAAGTATACAGCTGCAATGAAAATCGCAGCTCACGCTGGAGAATAAAAATTTTCTAAAACAGGAGCTTAGAAGCCAAAATAAATAAAGACTAGTTAACACTTAATACTGTAGAATCTTTTACTCAACTACAAGCAAATAAGTCATAAAAATATTTCTTTAAGATAGTAACATTAGTGCCGAGGATTTAGCTCAGTGGTTTCACTGCCTGCTGCACAAGCACAAGCCCAAAGACCCAAGTTTGATCCTCGGGAACGACAACAACAAAAAAAGATAGTAACATTAAAAAAGGACAAATCTTAAAAATCATTTTGTCCTTTTGTTGTTATTATTGTTGAGAAATTAAGAAAGCAGTTTACAGAGACCAATCATGTGCCAAATAATGTCTCTAATCTATTAACCTATTCAAACATAAAGACTGTACTGGTAAAATTATACAATGACGTGTTACCTATTAATTCTGTGTATAAGTCAATGAAGCTACATTTAAAAAACCTACAAAGTAGTCCACAAAATTTTAATCTTTTCTTACCTTCTGTTTAGCAATAGTTACTGCACAAAGATAAGAAAGCATCACTCATCCACCTATCAGGATAAAGATGTCCCTCCCAAATTAGGTACGCAAAAACCTAAAAATATTTTACAAAGAGGTCCTGAAGAAAGCTTAGCTTCTGAAACTGTGCCCCACGGTTTCCTTATTGTGCAAAGAAGGGTAAAGGAATGCATTCTCTTCAAAGAAAAGCTAATGAAAATAATCTTGAACATTTTTTTCTCTAAAGCTCCTTCCCAGAAAATACTTCAGAGCAGAATAAAAGGGATAATAGGAAATACGGAGATAGATCTTTTGCAAAAGGTAAGGGGACCAAGGCATGGAGGGAGAGGGACAGGAGGGGAGGCGAAGGGAATGAGAAAATAATTAAGATGTGTTATGTACGTGTACCAATTCCCCACAAGGAATGCAGTCATTATGTACTGCAAACACATATTAGTAAAAAATAAAAGTCGACAAAAAAGGGCAATTCTGAAGGTGAAGCATGTACAATTTACAAACAATGTACTTAATTGTTGCTTTACTTCCAATTATGGCTGTCTTTTGGATGTGATTTTACACTCACTTGATAAATGAAATTTCCTAGAGGTCTTTTGTCTGTTGACTTTAAAAGCATTATAATCTTCACTCAAGGAAATGTATTCAAAATATAAACACAGTAAAAAAGATTTTTCAAATGTAATAGTTTTATTGCAATGGATTACATCCAAATGCATCCAGTTTTTAATAGCGTAGTAAACATGTACAGCCTATTGAAAATTGCTTTTCTTTCCTAATATTTAAACCTGAGGAACAAAGTCATTCTGGAAAACAGTAAAGATGTCTGAGTTTCCATATTTTAAAAAAAATCTTAACTCTCAGTAACAAATAAGACTTAACAGAAGAGCGGGGTGAATTAACCAATGGAATTTTATTACGGCTCTCACACAGACCTGGAAAATATTAAAGAAAAAAAAAAGCTTTTGGGTCCATCGGGGTAGGCACAATTTGATTTTTAAAAAATGTGTTACTACATAAAATGCATTAAAGCTGTGAAAAGCAAGCTAAGAGCTTAAACATCACTACTCTACTAACAAACAAGGATGCTGCTACCGCATCAGACATCACAGCCCCGCAGTTAGCTCTACGTAACCGTGGCCTATGGGATTCCGGAAAAACCATGCATTCTCACTTTCTCCAGCCTTTCAAAAGGTGAAGCAGAGCCCTCGGGGGAAAATACTTTTGTTTTCAAAAACAGGGTCTTTTCTGCAACTCTGTATTTTTAAATCACACCATAAGAACTTCGGGTGAACGTCCTTCCCTCATTTTAATCACTCTGTTCAGTTGGTGAGCTACCATCTTTTTGTTCTGTTCAACCACTGCGCTTCCCAAGTCTTCCTTTTGGCCCAAGCCATTTATCTTTACAGGTATTCTCATCACAAAGGCCAAGAACAACCGGGCCTCAAAGCACTGCAAGACCTGAGTGCATAAAGCAGGGAAGCGTGCAGCCTTTCATAAACGATCCGTGGGTCCGAAAGTCAAAGGACTTGTTGCAGACGTGCCCACACTGAAGCCGTCTTCACGCAGGAAGAGGGGAGGAGGAAAGCGCCACGCCGAAACCCGTCGCAAACGCGAACAGGAGCCCAGGAGACCGGGCGCGCGGGATACAAAGGGCTCTGAACGCGGCCTTCCATGAGGCAACCTTGCGCGGACAGAGACAAAATGGAGCGGCGGGAGAAATCTGAGCCCAGGCGACTGGGCCGCCCCACGGGGCTTTCTCGCCGGCCCGCAGCCAGTTCTCCGCGCGGCGCACACGCGGCCCGGTCCCCGGGCCTAGTGCGGCGGGAAGCGCCCGCGGGCCGCAGCCAACAATGGGGCGTGAGGCCGCGGCGAGGGAGGGGCTGGCGGCGGCCTGCACCCGCGCTGCAGGCCCCGCGGCCCGGAAAACGACGCATTGTAACAGGGGAGTCGAAGGGCGCCGCGCCGGGTCCGGCGTCGGGGTGGGCGGCGCGGGCCGGAGGCGGAAAGGGCGCACGGTCTGCAGCCGCGCCGGCTCGTGGCCCGCAGCGGGCTCGGGGCCGCGTCCAGGCCGCAGCGCCACCCGCGTCGGCGGCGAGGCCCAGACCCTCACGTACCTGGTTGAACTCTTCGCCCACATCCGCGTAAATGTCTATGTGGTCCACACCGTCCGCCATCTTCTCTCGGCCGAGCCGCCGCTGCCGCCACCGCCGCCGCCTGCAGGTCCGCCCGCCGCGGAGCAGCAGCGGATCTGGCGGCGGGGGCGGGGCGCGCTGCGTCACTTCCGAGGCCCGGGGACTCAGGCGGGGGTGGCGGGCGGCGGGGGCTCTGCTGCCCGGCTGAGGGGCGGGCGGCTCCGCGAGGGCCCGGCCGTTTCTTTTGTGTGCATCTGGGCTAGGCCTGGGGGGAGGAAGTGGGTTGAAGTTTTCTAGTCTCAGCGGCGCTTCCAGGCTACCAGTGGGTCCCGCTTGTTTCCTGAGACTTTCTTTTCACGTGCCGTCTTTCACACATTTTTTTTTTTAAATCTTCAATTCCAGTTTTCTTTCCATTTTTCATGTCCAGGGCTTAAAAGTGGTAGTTATATGTCCACGGTTAAATACCAAATGTGATCTTCGGGTTTTCTGTGAGCATCTCAAGATTAAGAACACTGTCTTATTCCTGCATCTTCAGGATCCTCAGGGTTTTATTTGCATCGTAAATGCTAGGTATTGGTGGATATCTTGAGTTATTTGCACATTGTTTATATTTCCATCTCAGTTTTCGGTGTTGTCTTTGGCTTATTTCATCTCCTCCGTGCTGTCCTTCATTTCCTTTCTCTTTTTCCTCCTTAGATCCGCACCAGATTTTCTTTGCATAGTTCAGATGCTTCTAACTTCATGTCCATACCCACACTCCAAAGTAGAGGTATCATAAGGCTAAGAGTTTCTCTCTTGCAATTAAAAATGTCTGACCCAGGAGGGAACTGAAAAGCTTGTCCTTAAACATCCCATTTTACAGGTGAGAGAATAGGCCTAATAGCACCTAAGTCATTCAACCAGGGTTACATGGTCAATAAAGTTAACGTTTTGCCCTCAAACTTTATTCAAAGATATCTCTCCAGTTTGAAACCTTTCCCCATAACACTCCCATATTTTCTTCACCCAAATAAAATTCCACCACTTTAGTGTTTCTTCAGATACATACTGGCCAAAAATCATACAATAAGCCAAGCAACAACTGTACTTGGTATGGTAGAAAAAGCGTGGTTGTAGTCATGGAAATGGGTCTATAGCGATGTGGGTACAAATTTCTATTCAGTCGTTTAATCAACTAGATGACCTCGAATTACTTTCATCTTCAGTCTCATAATCTTTAATATCAAAATAGAACCTCCCTGAGTTTGCAGATTGATGGTAGATTAAATGAGATACTGTAATATGCAAAGTTCCCTATACTCTACTGCTTCAAAATACTTATTTGCTTTCTTCCATGAAGCATTATAGAAGAAAAGAGCCACATAGAGGGATTGCATATTTTTAGATTGGTGGTATGGTAGGGAGAATAATGACCCACCATAGGCGTTCATGTCCTGATCCCTGGAACATGTGACTAGGTTCACCTTACAAGGCAAAAGACTTTGCAGATATAGATATATTAAGTTAGGGGTCTTGATATGAGATTTTCTTTGATAGTCTCTAAAGAGGCAGGCAGTAGAATCAGAGAAGATGTGACAATAGAAACAGTTTATGTTGGAGTACACAAAAATCATTCCAAGGTTCTGTCTGACTTGCGTTGTTGCTTGTGCAAAGTCAGCTGAAATTGGGGGTACTGTTTTCGTGAAAAGAATGGGTTCTTTTTCTTTGGTTGCTTTTAAGATATTTCTGTCTTAGACTGGCTTTCTGTTCTTTTACTACATATGTTTGGAAGTGTATTTGTTTATGTGCTTTGGATTCACTGAACCTCTTGAATATAAGGATTAACATGGTTCAGGAGCTCTGGAAAATTCTAAGCCATCTTCTCTAAGTTCTTCTCTGCAAATAAAGGAATTGTTTTAGCTTCTAGGAGAAAACCCTTATAAAATAATGTTTATGGGGCCACTAAGAAATCTGTTACATGCTGTGGTACAAAAGAGTGTGAGTGCGTTGTAAAGAACATATATGTACAAGAAAGAAAGGAAGATTGATTTTCAGGCATTACCTCTTCAAACATTGCTTCTGGCTCCCATTTTCTTCTCTCTTTCTATGATCCTAATTAAATACAGCAATACCCTGGTTTGTGAACACTTCTGTTTGCAGACAATTCAATTCTTGAACAGAGAACCATTTGGCAAAATTTTGCTTCTGTTCATGAACTCTGTGTTGGGTGACGAACACATCTACAGCCATCTTCCCCACTTTGACACATGGTTGTGGCTTCTAGTCAAGATCGTAGCCACAGACAAACCTGTGCACTCTAGCTGTGAAGCTTTTTTGTGTGATTCTTAGCACATATAGTACTGTAAAGTATTATTCAATCCAGCATGGCTCCAAAGAAAGTGCAGAGCAGTAATGAAGATGACAAGAAAGTGTTGAGTAAAAATGGTAAGAAGAAAGTTTTGAAGAAAACAACCATTGCATTGAAGAAGGTAATTGTAGAAAAGCTTGAGTGTGGTATTCATGTGACTAATATGGCCCCAGAGTACAAGTGGCAAAATCGACACTCTTAATTATTTTGAAGAATAAAGATGCTGTCAAAGGAGTTAACGATGTTATCCAAGCAGAGGACATGAATGCTGGAAAAGGTGGAAAAACTTTTGTTAGTGTGGTGGAATGAGAAACAGCTGGCAGGGATACCATTAGTTAAACTATGATCTGTGAAAAAGCCAGGAAATTGTACAGTGGCTTACTGCAAGAAAACCCCTCTAAACTGCAACAAGTGATAAATTTAAAGCCAATAGAGGGTAGTTTGATAAATTCCTCAAGAGAAGTGGTGTCCGCAGGGTGATAAGACAAGGCTTCCAGTTCTGACAAGGCCACTGGAGAAACCTACATGAAAGAATTCATGGAATTCATGAATGCAGAAGGGTACATTGCTCAATAAGTGTTCAACTTCGATGAAACAGGGCTCTTCTGGAAGAAGATGCCGAAAGAACCTATATCACACAGGAGAAAAAGGCATTGCTGGGGCACAAGGCCACGAAGGACAGATTGACCCTTTTCCTGTGTGTGAATGCAAGCTTTGATCGGAAGATTAAGCCACTACTGGCGTACCATTCCGAGACCTCTCATGCATTCAAGGAACAGAATGTGAACAAGGGTGGACTACCTGTCATTGGAGGGGCAATGCAAGATAATTTTTCATGGAATGGCTGCATAATGTGTTCACCCCCACCATTAAGAAATAACATGATATGACATGACACCTCTTTTGCAGCCCATGGACCAGCAATCTGCAACTTCAAGAAGCTGCACACAAAGGTGCTCTTCACTAGGTGTTTTAATGTCACTGAGGAAAAGTCCTTGACTCTGAAAGAGTTCTGGAAGAAACATTTCAATGTCCTCCACTGCATCAACCTCATTGACAAAGCCTGGGAGGATGTCACATACCAGACCTTAAACTCAGCCTGGAGGAAACTGTGGCCAGAATGTGTCACTGAACATGACTTTGGAAGGTCTGATTGTGTCCATGGCCAAGAGTATGGGTCTGGACATTGATGGTGCAGACACAGAGGACCAGAAGAAGGAGCTAATGGTGGAAGAACTTGCTGAACTCCAGAATGACCAGCAAAAGGCACTTGTTGAGGAGCACTCCACTGAGGAGGAGGAAGAAAGGGAGAAGGTTAGCAGTGATGTGATAAAATCCATTATGGCAAAATAGAATGGGTGCCAGGATTCCTTTGAGAAGCACCACCCCAACATAACTGTAATGAACAGAGTGTTGAATCTGATAAATGATAATGTAGTCTCTCATTTCAAGAGAGTTATGCAGTGCAGGAAAAAATAAGTGACAGATTTTTCATCAAAATTGACCCTGTGCCTAAGAGACAAAGAAGAGAGGAAACCCTTGAAGGAGATCTGCCCAATGTCCAATGTCCTTATGGAGGGGGACTCTCCCTCCAAACAATAACCTTCTCCCCATTCACCTTCTGTCTGCTGTGCCAGAAGTCATGTCAAGCAAGGTTAATGTTCTCTCTCTTCATACTGTCTTGTGCTGTACTTTGTTTCATATTTTTGTGTTTAAAAAACACATGTGGTTCAGAAAAGATTAACCTTATTTACTTTGAACTTCATGGGAAAATTTGATTCAGTTCATGACCAGAATCATGGAACAAATTTAGGTTTGTGAACCGAGGTACCGCTGTATTAGACTTTTCCTTTTGAGACAGGATCTTGCTATGTTGTTTGGAGTGACTTCAAAATTGTGGTCTCAAATGATCCTTCTACCTCAGTCACTCGAGTGCTAGGACTACAGGCACAGATCATCACACTGAGCTACTCTCTTTTTCCTTGTTTCCATCATTTTGTCTCCCTGTATTTCTTTTTGGGTAGATTTTTTTCTGATATAGTTGCTAAATTACTGATTCTCACATGGTATTAACTCATCTATTGAGATATAAACTTTATATTTTTGTAATTTTAAATTCTAGAATTTCTACTTGGCTTTAAAAACTATTTTACAGTTTACTTCATAGCATATAATTCATATTGCCCAAATTGTCAGCCTTGAATTTCATCCTGACTTATTTTGGTTTGCCTTTACTCCCAGGGTGCTGTAGTCTTGAGTGCTGGACCAAAATATGGTTTAACAAAGTCATCACTGTTGGAAAGTCCTAGACTCCATTTTTTAATTCTCCTGGATACCAAAACTGTAACTCAGTCTCTCAGCCATCTGTTGGGATCTGGTAATTCCTCCAAGGGCGAGATTACTCTTAATCTATAGACCCTATCCTCTTCCTTACCAAGTGATTACTCACACACCATCTTATTAGCTTTTTGATGATTTTTAAACAGAGTAACTCCTTACTTGGCAATTTTCAAAAAATGAAATACTAATATAGTTTATAAAGAAAAATTTGTAATGACAACTTGAGAACTTATTATCTCCTACATCCCAGCCTTTTTGTTAGACATTTTATGATCATTAATATGCATTGATGAAAAGTTGGAGACTTGGGTTCTTGTCCTGGCTCAACAGCTGATTAGCCTAAACAAATCTTTCACCTGAATTTCTTTCTGGAGTCCCTCTAGGTTCTGAAGTTCTTTTACTCAAATCTTCAGAGAACTGAAAATCAGTT